TATATATATACGAACATTCGCTCGCATTTCTCTGCTACTGAATATTCAGCATGTTTATGTTTACCCTGCTTTTGAAAATTTTGTCTTAGGTGCTGGTGATGGAATGGTAACAGCGAAAATGGCACCTTATTTTGAGCAGGTTTACGTAACCGAATTGTCTCATACGATGCAATGGAGGCTTTCCGAACGTGGTTTCACGTAAGTGTTCATAAATGGTCCTTGGAATATTTGGCTTGAACTATTTCCTCAGCTACTTCAAACACATTAGCACTGATAAGGGCGCTTGGTACACACTTCCTAATCATGGCTGAAAATTCGCAGTTTATATTCACACAGCTTCGCAAGTAATCTCCTAACCGTCCAAATTTCCTGGCTTCTTCCTATTCACGTGTCTCACCTAAACTTTATTGTGCTAGACCATTCTTTTTGTTTTAATGTCACTGACTGATGATGCGGTTACGAACTGATCCTCGGGTGCTTGCGGTGAGTTTTCACCCAAAATACCAAGATCAACGCGTTTATACTGATTGTAAGATTACGGGTTTTCTACTTTCTTGGTGTTTGCAAAAACCCTCGAATAAGGTTTTTTTCTTGCTTTTAAAGTGTGTAAGTGGGAGGAGGGGGTAGGGGAAAGGATGGACTTACAAGCAATGGTATTCTAAGAAATACTTGCTTGCATCTGTTCCTAGCGATATTCGCGCGCGGTGTACTGGCTTATTCAAGCCGTCCCTCACGCCAGCGTCGATGGTCGGATTGCACGACACCCGGTATTTCAGGATATGATTAACTTTTGTACTATTGTGTACTATCTGATGGAGAGACCTCTCAGTTTTTTTAGGGCGAATCCTTAGCCGCATTCCGGCTGTCGTCGCTCGTAACCAACCTAATAGACCCTTCCGTAGGGCTGTTTGATCTGCCATCTACGGTACCTACCTAGTGACTTCAGAAGACTGCTGTGATTTCGGATTGGTTCCGACTGTTCCTCTGCATTTTTTGACAGACTCATCGACCTCTGGCTATCGCACTATGCTTTGATTCCCAAAGGGCTTTACCCACATTGTTCATGTACGGGACTCTTACCCAAACGAATTATGATAGCTCAAGGACGACAAGGCGTCTCGTTTTCGCTAGCCCACTGTTACCCCTACGAGTCCGGGTTTTTTACTCTCACTGCTATTACGACGCGTCAGCCACTCTCAGGATCCTCAGCACTGGTTTTCCACCATATCTGAAACTAGTGGGTCGACGTTCACTCCACATTCCTGGAGCATAAGCTTCCTTTTTATGTCAAAATCAGGAACCTGACTTCCCGTCTTTACTTTTTACTCCTAATTTAAACTGTTTATGGAACTGTTCGATGTCACTTATTTTTTACGACAGCTCTATAACACCCATCCCGAAACCAACACGTTTTCCTTCTAGTGACAGTTCAGCTCCATTTTTAGAGGTTAGTGCTGAGTAATCATAGTCTACTTGTCATCTAGTCCTGTGGGCTCTTTCCCGTATTGTTGTGTCTTGTTCCGATTGTAATAACCTGACCCAATCAATATCGATGTGCCTTCCACACACTTAGAAATAAGTCAATATTATGGTATTACTATCAACGTATTCAAAAATTGGATGGTGTGCATTGACAGATCTCCAACCATTCTGTAACTCCGAATGACCAATGACGGTCTGTGGATGATGATGCAACCTTCGTGGGACCTTCGAAATCGGTCCTGTAGAATTCCATTCAACATAGATACATCGACCTATACCCTAGTTTGTTTGCGAAGCTGTTTCCAGCATCATTTTACAGACATACACTTTCAGTTTCTTGAACTCCTTACACTCTTTCGCTAATTGAACGAATTTGGCCGCCACGTGAAAGTTGGTTGCAAATGAACCCTTGTGGACTAGAAGAAGACGTCACGCTGAAGGTGCAATGCACTACTCATAAGGTTGCTGGAAATTGTTCGACAGCCCACGACGGGTTTCTCCCTTTTTGGGCTCACTAGGTAGGCGCAGTCCCCGAGTTTCCATCAACCTTGTGTTCTACTTGAAACTAAATTGCACGGAATAAGCGAAGTACACTCATTTGCAAACAAATTTAGTTGTGCGAGAGACTCGCCTGGAACCCAGTTGAATCTCTCGTTTGTGATGTTTCCAGGCCGCCTCATGTTTCAGTAGCTACGATATTCGAGATATCGTGATACATGTATAGACGTAATGCACTACTCAGTGGCCTGGAAACACCACAAACGAGAGATTCAGCTGCTTTCCAGGTAAGTCTCTCGCAAAACCAAATTTGTTTGCAAATGCGTGTATTTTGCTAAAGACGTCACACTGTTTGTTCGCGTTACACCCCCCACATTATGTAGAGATCTATCACTGCACTGTCATACATGATGCTGTGCACATATAGTGGATTTATTGGTCTTTTTGATGGGTGTAAACCCTTCCGTTCGTAGTGAAATTGCGCTGCTATCAAAATATGCCTTACTGTTCTTGATGCGATGCAACATTAATTTTTCAGTGTTGATTGCGTAGCTTGTTTGTACAGAACAAATCCTGATAAGCCGTTTGCCAACTGTGTACCATTAAATGGGAACCAACGAACAACAGATCACCGAAATTGCTCTGCGTTAGTATCATGGTTATAAGAATGAATGAGGTGTTGAAAAATGTGCTGAGTCTCTTAGCTGCACAAATATATGTAAAAGTTATCCTTAATTGTGGACTAAAACAAACGCCTCCAAGCCGGTAAATAACTGAGGGATTTTTAAGTGCATTCAATAGACTACAGATCTTCAAGCCTGGGTGTATCTGACTGACTGTCAACCTCATATCTACAAAAGTGGGTATCTGTCCGCCTAACACTCGCTGTATATAGTAGTCCTCTAAGACGAACCACCAAACAAAAAGGGTAAATTTGGTCCTCGGCAAGAGTAGTCTCTTTTCGAAGGGATCGAAATTGAAGTCATACCTGATGGAGAGTTGTGTATTCTAAGGGGCTGAGGGATCAGGTGGGAATTTTGACACCCACTGACTAAGGCGATCGAGTCTGTATGCTTAAAAAGTATACTAAATACTATCTCCGTTCCACTCGCCTTCAGTGTTATTGATGCCGATGCTTGGTCTAAAGTTTCCGAAGATCCAGAATCCGGATCGGGTTGCTATGATGTCGTGAGCTGCTTAAACGTGCTGGATCGTTGTGATGCGCCTATCACTATGCTCGAACAGATCAGCCGTGTGCTCAAACCTGACACGGGTCGCTTGGTACTCGGCATCGTTCTACCGCTGAAGCAATACGTTGAGAGTAAGCGTTACTATCAATACACTCAAGTGAAAGTAATCCAGCAACTCCTTCAATACGCCCTGAATCGCACTGAAAAGGCCATGTTCTTTTTTCCTGCATTTCGCTGTTTCAGTGGATTAGCGTACTTTCCATCAAAAGTCACGTGATTCCTTTGGTTTGTTTGATTTAACGCACGTCGAATTCGTTGAGAATATGACTGAATTTCCATAATAATCTAGATGATTCTCTGGATGACAAGGCTTACGAGAATTTCCGCAAGCTTGTGACAGACGTGCTCAGCTAACGTGTGATCAGTTTAACCAGACTGATCTTATGGGCACTTTTGATGACAACCAGTTACCGCTTTGTGCTGCACAACAGTGATGATACTCGTCACGAGTTTATCCAATTAGTTTTATCCAGATCAATGCAGTTGTTTTTCTCTGGAGGCATAACTTTAGTTCACCTGTCGTAGGTCTGTCGTATTTACAGAGTCTCTTTGCTTCTCTTAATTCGATTTTCAAACTTCATAAGCAAATTTTAGTCCATCTGTCGTCCCATTGGTTCCGCACACATGTATTCTACATATTTTATGGTTGTTTACTTTTATTTAAGTTTATTTGGTTATTATTAAGTTCATTTAAGTTCCGTTTATCCGAAAGAATTTCCGCGTCCCGGTATCCCCCATGGTAGGTATTTCGGACCATAACTGCATCACTGTTTGCAAGTCCAGACAGTATAACCTTTGATCACTGACGCTGGTGTGAAATGTAGCCTTCCCGTACTGAAGTCTATGTGGTACTCTAGTCCAGTACGACACCAACTGGTAATGATCGGTCTGAGAAGCACATCGTTCCATCCACTGCTTTTCTTCTCAGTATTACTGGTGAATAGAAGAAGGCCTTCGCTGCGGAGTTGTTCATTAGAAAACACCACCTGAACGGTGAAAGAATATTGGACAGGGAAGCATAGCTCTTATATGCATCTTGTTTATAAAAACTGAATATCCATCTTCTTCTCGAAAGCGTCTTCCTGAACTTTTCTGGATATTCACTGACCATTGCTCAAATGTAAACGAATGCTACGGAGCAATTCCACGAATTCCGTAAAAATCTCACTTTTCAATAGACGCGAAGCGGATTTACGGGAAAACATGCTACTCGCGTGCCTCCTCAGAAGTATCCACACGCAGTACCTGAGTAAGACGACACACACCAGTTGTTATACTCACAGAAAACAAGAGTGATACTTTCCATATTTATACTTGGGTGGATGGCCGTCTTGTGCTTCTTTACGACTGGCATTCAGTTTTGCTATAATACCGGCCACTTTAATCCCTTTGTTTTATGTCCTTATCTACGATCACACGAGAGCCTGGTGTCTACCTTTTGGTTGTTATGTACAGTCTGGCCTTTGTATCCCACTTTCTCATCTATTTTTTGTTTCGTCTTTCAGCACTGAGTTGGTGTAAGTGTCATGTTTCGTGCTTGCTTCAAATTCCCCCGGACCCTCATTTTCCCTTTTCTCTTGTTAATTTGTACCATGGCCACCATGTTTCTGCTTGCTCTGGCAAGATCGGTTTGTGCAGTCAGGTGCTTTTTCTTACTTCTATGATGTCGTTCTCCGTTAGTGTCTAGGTTGTACCATGGGGTTCAACAGAGAGAAGTGTTTTTTGTTATTGCCTTTGTGCGTTATCATCCAAATCGTTCGAATTGCTTTACCAATACTAAACACTTGTGTAGTCCACCACTTTTTTCGGACTCCAACAATCTTTGGGATTGTGTCGTTCTTGTCATTTGCTACCATAAGTAGCTGATTGATGTAAGCAAGATCGATGCTTGGCAATGCAGTCACGCTAACTACCCTAAGCTTCGGTTTGTAAGGTAATATCCGCAGCCTTCCACCTATTCCCTCTTGATTATTCTCGTTAGTTAATATCAAAGGAGGAAATAGAGAATGTCGTCCCCGTCAAAGTTGCCCAAAAGTGCATATCTTCGGTGCTGTCTGCCATGCGATTGCTTTGCCACTACTCCGCCAGCGCATTTTGGATGCATTGGAATCATCTTGTCTGAACAGACAAGCATGTTAAGACCGGAGCAATGGATGAGACTAGGTTTTTTCGTATTCCTAAACAGTGTCGCGTAAGTCACTGGGTGATTTTGATACTCTGGGAACTGGCGCATCGGATAATTTTCAAGTGCATAGTATAACTTAAGCTGAATAATCCTGGTAGCTTAGTAGGCGGATTGTCATGAGCCCCCTTCATTCCCAACCTTAGCTGTTCATTACCCGTGCGCAATAGGTTCATACAAATTCGGCGGTTGTAAGTCTAATTGAAGAAAACTTTAGGCCCCCAGAACAAGAGGCAGAAAGCAAGGTGCCTTAACTTTTCCCAGCTGAGATACGCGAATCCGGGCTTTTTCAGGTCAAGGTAGCATCGGGATATTAGCTTCTATGTTCTTCACTGGTTTCCTATCCCCCTGGTCTGATAAAACACAAGACACAGCATGTACTTGATAGTTTGGTCAAGAAGTGATGGGATGGCGGTTGTGCACCACGTTTCACAGGGTTCCCAGTCACACAAAGATGACCATGAGTATCCAAACTAGGTTGTCCGTATACCACAGTGCTAGAGCAGGACTGTATCATATAACGGTTTGTATTCTAATGGACATTGTTATAACAAGGTTTATAGTGCAAGAGGCGGATCGTGGCTAAGCACGTACGTCGATGTTGTTCAGCCATCCTCATCTTGTGCGACTACCTTATACTGGATGTGTTTGTGTGTGTGTCGTCATCAGCTGCAACCTTTTTAACCGTGAAGTATGGGAGTTCCAGTCGCCGATGATAACGTATTCCCCATCTTGGGTACCATCAACTTCGTAAGGGCATTTAAAAGGCAGCTAATCCAAGCAGAAGTATTGACGTTACCTGTGCTCAACGTCTGCCAGCACAAGTTGTCACTGGCATAACGGTCAGCGTTAATTTTCTATGCCATAGATAGCAAGAATTACAAACCGGCGTTCTTTTGGAAGCCACTTGGTGAGATAAGATGGCGGTCATTTGTGCAGAGAATTCGAACTGTTCTGCAAAATGTGAAACAGATAGGGCTACCCACAAATACTCTGATCCCAAGCATCTGATCTGAGACACTTGCTAATTTCTCAGCAAATTTATGGGCGGAGTGAAGGAGCCGATCATCAACCACACAACACGTGTTGAACCCTAGCGCTTCGCTTTTGTACGGTTATGATTGCTTTGTTAATAAACAATGCCATGCGTTGTAATGAAGAACAAAATGAGAATGGCAGCGCGCCTAATACTGGCCTCGTGCACACACTTCAAGATGTCCACACACATCGGACCATCTTAGCAAGGCCGGTAGCTACTGCAATCGATTGACATCGATAATGTTCATCTTCATTGATTGTAAAAACCGCGTGCTTGCTGCACAGTAGGTATAGCCAGTGCAACCTCTGGAGTGTGATCAGTTCATCAATCGTGGACGGGTTACTTCTACCGAAAACCATTCGACGTACTTCAGCATTACTGATCCGGTGTTCCCACCTGACTTGGGAAATACTCCGAAAAAATCGATGATCAAACCTCGAAAGTTTTTTTAAGGTCTTCAGCATGCAGCATCTGGGTTTCTGACCCGTAAAGTAATATGTAGCGCACCGCAACATTGCGAACTCGACCCTTGCCGAATAAGCTGGTGTCGTGTTTGTGCCCACAGGTGAAACAGGTTAGCGAAGGTTGTTCTGACCCTCCCAATCCAAATGGAAATATAATCTTCCGCGAGACTACCGGGACTTACACAGCTACCAAGGTAAACAAATTTGTCTACTACCTCAATCAACCCATCCGCAAGTGTGTGGTTAGGGTTTAAGCCCACCCAGTTTTTCAGCGACACTTTACACTGCAGATGTGGATTCCATGCCAAACCGAGAGGCAGAATTATTTAGACTATTTAACATTGTCTGCATTACAGAAGTATCAGATCCAAGAAGAGCTTTATCGTCTGCGTATTCGATATCTGTCGGGGAACGCCCTGGGAGCATTTCGATCCTGCAGATAATACAGGCTGGTGGTGAGTGCTCCATAATCATATCAATGATGAAGCTGAGCAGTAAATGTGAAAATACAGCCTTGCCTGACACCATCTGATGTGCGTAACTTAGACGAGGGCTTTCCGTGGACCTTCAAGCGTACAGAACCCCAAGGAGGGTCAGTAATTTATGGGAGACGCCTTTGCTCCATAGGTACTACCATAGTGTCTGACGGTCCACAGAGTCAAGAGAAGTTTCCGAGTCAAGGGAAGTCACCATTGTTGGTTACTGGAAGCAGCGTCACTGTTCCGGAGTCTGTCGGACGATTAAAATGTGATCTGTACAGGATCTTGCGGGACGGAATACAACTTCGTTTCCACGGATCTGCCTCTGCCTGTGTTCAGTCAACCTTTCAAGGATAAGACCAGTGAGTAACTTCGATACCTTAACTACTGGACTGACGCCGCGGTATTTTTCGCATAGCTTTCGCTTATATTTTTTAAGATAAGGATGTTCCCCATTCTACAGACACGTTCTGTTCACTCCATATCTCATCAGTGAGTTTTGTTGCATGGGTCACCAGGGTTTCTCTGCTGCCGTTGAGTGGGGGCTGGACACTGACCGTCCCATCCTACTGCCTTCTCACGGTCCAGTCCTAATATTCCGTTTTTCACTTCTTCTGGCGGGAAGTTCACATTCCATTCGCCCGCATACACTGTTTCCAGAGGCTGTGTTGCAGTAGACCAGCTGAACCGTTCTTCGAGATGTTCGACTCATCTTTCCACTTCGCGTTTCTGCGAGTAAATTAATGGGCCACCTTTTTCATTTATCGTTTCACTGACCATTGCTTTTTATGGCAAGTTGGTCGTATCAATCAGTATAGGGCACGACTGTTTATTGTAACAAAAACGTCTTCCATCTCTGAGGCTTTCGGTGTTTACCAAAGCTCTCAGTCTTTCCTTAGCCTCTTCATTTTTGTGGCCTTTTAGAGATTTGCGTGTCTTGTCATACTGGCTGGCTGTTGCTATAGGTTTCCTGACATCAGTCAGTTCCTGCGATTTCGGCGACTTCTACTGGTCATTCGATCGCCTCGGAGATTGTCGGGTTCCAACAGACAGGTCTGAACGCCGCCTTTCACATTTTGCCATGCTTTATCCACGTGCTCACTACCAGTGCAGTGTTGGCTTGCTGTAGAGCATAGTTGAGCTGGCTCGGATTAATACTACTGAGCCATGGTATTTCATCAGTAATGGTGTATTGATACGCTTCTTGCTGAGTTGCGGGGGGGGGGGGAAGGGAAGTGAACCATCAGGCGATCTGGTACCATAGCGTGGTCATAATCAATTCGTTTGTCCAGGGAGGAACGGCACTCGTGAATTGTGGCTCTGTACCGGTGAAAGATCGCCACCTGAGCCCACTGAGCCCACGATTAGTTTGCTTTTTACTTTTCATCAGCCAACCTCCGGTGAGAACTGGAGACGAGTCGCATCGATACGCTTCTGTGAAGTCATGGTCTGTCCCCTTAGTTATTCTCAATCTAAATGACAATTCTGATCACCATGTATACCACAATTCCATACTCAGGACCCTTGTGGCCGATCGGTATGCACTTAAAAGTGGCAGAGATGGTTTTTAACTGTACGCTTCTCCGGTGTTCCATGATAGTCGTTGATGAGGACTGATCCGATTGCATTGGAGTTTCGTATATAGCTATCTTGTATGAACCACGTCGGAATATGTTTTTGTTGTTTCTGATGGATGATATGTTTTTTTTGTTGGAGTAACATACTTGTAACTATGGGTACATAAAGGATGGGAAAAATAAAAGCAATTCATTTTCTCTGGAAGACCGTCAACGGTTCCAGATGGACAGTTTGGATATATCCTGTACTAGCTTCCCGTTCGGGCACCCACGTCGAATTTCAGATGAGTGTTGGACATTCTGCTGACTCATAATATCATCCTTCGAATGGGTGCTTAACTTTACGTAAAAATGGATGTTAAACTGCCGTAAACGCGGTGTCGGTTTGTGATATTTAGGAATATGGATGTCTATGGATATAGCAAGCTTTGTTTAATTGATTAGATTTGATTTTATAGTACAATCTGCAGTATATTTGGATGTATGTGCTAGCATGTGTGCCCAGATGTCCTGTTTCTCATACCATTCTTCTTAATTTAGTGTATTCTTTTTTTTCAGTCACCGGGGACAAATGCCCCTCTGAGGTGCTCGAAGTATCCGATAGCCACATCTGGGAAGTTCAGTTGAACAGTCTTGTGAGCAGAGTGCTGAAGCCAGCTAAATTCGAGGTTCTCCGATGGACACGAGTGCCGTATTTGTGTGAAGGCGATTTCACCCAATCCTTCTACTACCTCAATGAGGCTATATTGGTCCTACGTTATCGAGGTGGCTCGCGTCGGGAATCCCAAACAAGCTGACATTGTTGATTCTGCGTTTCCTCCGGGTTTGGTGGCACTGCGCAACTACTTTATTTTCATTATTCATAGTTCAAGATGTCTTCCGACTTTCCCGATGCCGTTTCTGTGCATTGCTGAAACACTGGTGTTTGGTGACGCGTCACATTGGTGAATTACATACTCGATCATCACCTAGCGGAATGATACATGGTATACCCTGTGATACGGAATCGAATCTTTTCAATACCTTATATACATAATCTCGTCATAATATACCGTTACCATGACATTCCGTTCAGTTTACTAGTCCTCACTGACTCCTAAATCGCTCAGATGAATAGATAGTATAGTTGTGCTGCTGATATTTAGATCTAACTCAGATGACTGGTGTCCCGAAATGTGTTGCCCCTCTGTAGCTATCGAAACAAATTAATACCACGATTGAAGTACAGTGCCCGAGTTAAGGAAACATGGATACAAACAACGGGAATGGTACGTGAATTTCCTATTAGGATGGTTGAAATGTCGTCACCCGGCTTCTTGCACATACTTCAGTATGGAATTTTAAGCGAGGCTTATTATACTGAATGGAATCTCTGTTTAGTCATCGCTAAAATAAACAAGTTGATCCGGAACGTTCATTTGTGTGACACTTGGTTTATTTCGTTAATAGCAACTCGGAGTCTCACTCCTTTTTCCCACCTAACTATTGGTCGTCCGGAAAAACCTGTACAGCCATCACTATATTTTCTAATAGAATTTCAGGGCTGACAAGTTTCACCAGCATCACATCAAATCCTGGGGTTTAGTTGTCTGACAACACAGGATCTTAATCAATGAATGATTCAGACTTGAGACACTTGCTGAGTTTTGACATTAAGGTGTGCCAAAACTGGACGGTCTCCGAATAAGTCATGGAGAAATTTCGGCTTGGGTAAGAAGTAAGAAGCGAGAAGCGGTATATCGCCGCAAACTGCGCTGCTGATGAACGAAAGAGCAAATAATGGAGAGGCAAGCGTCTCTTCTGAAAGAGCTTGTATGGTCGCCGAAAGGGATCATCTCGCCTCCATGTTTGTGATCTCAGTGGAGGCTAAACTAAGGTTACCAATATCTCTACACTCTATTACAGTCGAAGAAATTTCAGCTTCATTTCGTATGGCAAGTGAAACTAATAATCGATAGCAGTTAGAAGAAAACACAATAGTAGAGACTACGTTGCAGTATCTTCGAATGAATCCATGCATTCACTTGCGACCTGAGTGCCTATGAAACGCAAGTATGTAATCGTTTTTACTCCATGATCCATTGCCATAGGTACGATTGCCTAGTTGGCTTTGTTGTGACTCAGGAACTCCTAGAAATAAGCGACGACCGAATAAGATATGTCGGCCAACGGGTCAAAGCGCCGAACACCTACGCATATTTGGACAACCACAGTTGGTCTGCGAAGGGCAAAGTGCACGGACTGAACTTCGATGTGGATCCCATCAAAAAGGATCGGTGGACTATCAGGGCGAGCCCTTTGCAATCCAATATTCGACTTGAACAAGATGCCATAACATTCAACACCTTCGCCAGTTGCTTTGTCATTGGGATGGCGGCGTAATCCATATATTCCACGAGGTTTCACCATAATGCCACACTTCATTGTGACACCGCACTAATGCTGTGTTTGTGTCGTTAGCACATCGTCAGGTGGTAATAAAAAGCTTGGCGGTATTTCAATAAGCATTTATTCATTGATACTGTCATTCGTAGGTAGATTGTGTCAGGCTGACACCGGCTACAGAATGGTGCCGAATCGCGTCCTTTAGCATCTGGAAATCTGAGTACGATTGTAAACTACGCGGACCATCAGTCTAAGGTTCATCTTTACGAATAACTCAATCTTGGAGGACACAGATGTATCTTATCATAAAACTCCAAACGCATGCGTAGACAGCTACCCGTTTCAGTTGGCCTGATCTGCGAAGTTTTTGCGTCGGTGTTCATCTCTACCTGTGTAAGGAGGAAAGTTATTCGCCGCGAAGTCGTTTATTGGGAAACATCAGCTAAACGGTTACAAACCATTGGACAGGAAAGTAAATATCACATATTCACCTTATTTTCAAAAACTGAACCTCCTCACGCGTCTTCTTAAACTTTTCTGAATATTCATTGACTATCACGCAATTGTAAACGGGCGCTGCAAAGCGGTTCCACAGGTTCCATATAAAACCTCACCTTCCGTTAGATGCGAGGCAGAGTTACGAGAAAACCACGTGCTACTCGTATGCCTCATCAGTAGCGTCCATCGTTACGCCAGTAGTATTCGATCTCTGAGGGATCTTGTTTTCCGTCACTCGATCTGTCTATTTGATACGAGGGATTTCGTAAATATTGCAAATGCATTCAGAGACCCGAACATATAATCTACGGTGTCCAGTTTTCGGTGGTGCATATTACCTATGCGCCACTGATTATTGTTCCGACGCCTTTCTCAGGGCGGCCGATTAGCCTGTTGGCATCCACAGGTCTTGCGCTGAGTTTACTGTCAATCGCCAGCTCTGCGGACAGTGTGATATCCAGGAGCCCGTACGAGACGCCGTCTCACAACGATTAAACTCAATGCTTGATGAGTTTATACTGAACTCCAGGTACATTCTGATTGAATACTGGTAGTTTAGAAAATTCAGTTAAGAGCGATATGCCGCTGAACCGTAGACATTTGCTTTTAACAATAATGATAGAGATTTTGGAACTGTAGGGTACATTCATAGCAGGCTCGTTTCAGAAAGCGAAAACGACGCTCAGTCATCTGTGAGTAACACGTGTGTACACTGAAAACGCATCGACGCTTTGGTCGAAAAACGGATGGGGTTGAATAAGCGATCATCCGGCTGATATTGATATATCCTAAATTCATGGAACAAGGACACAGTCTTACGTCAACCCGATGTGGAGTTCAAACGGAGTGGTAGTGGCTGCGCACCCGATCTTCAGCCTAGTTTTGACAGGGTTGACGCTTTTATTCAATCAATAAAGCTGTCACACGACGATCAATAGTGCTTCTTTGCCTAATTAGGAGACTGTTAAGTAACCGGCATCCTTCACAACATTCCTGTTGCAGTAAATATACTAGTTATACCCTGTCCACTCTGAAATCCGCACTACTCTTGAGAAATGCTTCCCTGCAAGAATTACGCGGCTAGCCGATTGATAAATAGCCGAACCAAGTCATCGTTCTTTTCGAAAAGTAGGCTTTGTCGAAGTTGGCGCCTCCCATTTCCCTCGTGCAAAGTTATTGTCGTCATATCCTACGAACCGTAAAGAATATCTCTTACCCGCTAACATGTACACAGTCGTTAGAAAAGTCGGACCTCCAGTTTGAACGGCTCCAACAGCAATTCTACCTTGCTCTCTGCTCTGCCGTCTTACAACTGCTCCATGGTCCTTCGCAGTTCCGCTCCCGTGGGTAGATAGGCCAATTGTACCTCATCGTAAATTGGGGTTGTTAGATCAACCGGCTGAAATCACTACCGATACACCGAACAGTGCTCCAAAGTAGTGATTCCAAACACCGCTTGTCACGTTGGTCAGGTTGTTTTGTACCTACCGGAGATATTTTATATCCACCCCATCGCCTGTTCTCAGTCCGGTTAGGATTTCTTGCGGTAGCGGAAACCATGGTACGCTATGGGGATATTGGTTGTGTTTTGTCAGCTATCAATTTGTGATGAAGATGACTGATTCTCCATCCATTATTCTCTTGTTTTAATATTCCAAGTGCTCTATACACATCGACTTGAATACATGGTGCTATCCTTTACGCAGTGTTGAAATCTGAATTGCTAGTTCGTTGTTTATGCTGATACACGTTCCTAACTCGATTGTTTCACAATCTCTTGATCTCCACAGACGTTGCAAAAACTTGATGTTGCTTCCTGTTTAATTTAACGCTTTTGTGTTTCCCAGATTTTTAATAACCCTTTAAGTTCAGGGTCATTCTTTACATCAAAATAGATGCTGAAGGTTCATTCTGGTTGAACTCGTATTTTCTGCTCTCTTGTTTTGGTCTGACGGTATTCGCAACAGCCGCGATGTTTGTATTCGAGTCCACTTGCTTCAGAATGTACTCGGAAATTTGTTGTTCACCTGTCTGTCCTTGATCGCCTCTTAAAATTTTGATACACTTATGACTTCTCAGTCTTATGTTCCGGATTGAGGTAGTTAATAAGTGCGTCGCATACTTTACCATCTACCGGGGTTGTAATTTACTGCAATCGGTTTGCCGACTAAGCGGTCGTGTCCACAAGCTGAACGAGTTTACTTTTTAAGACGTACAGCAGAACAAGAAACGGCGGGACTAACCTATACTACCACTAAATAAGCACCTGCCGCGGTGTTTGCTCGTGGGACCGAACGAGTGCTCCAGACCGGATGTACGCTGGAGTGGGTCCAGTTGTGAATAATGTTCGGATTCCGTGTTTATTACCCTTGAAACGAGTGGCTACGGAGGAAAACAAACACTTTTAAACTGAGGCAGCAGAACTGTGGTATTTATTGACTTGGGAGCAATGCAAACAGTGAGTAGCTTCTTTATTTAGTGTTATGGAAACCGCTTATCGAGTAGTTCTGAAGGAGAAAAAACAAGTGGTGGTGTACAGCAACAGCTAGTATATGTATTAAATCTAACTTGACACCTTGGTAATTCCCCCATTTACTTGATTACTGAGACCGTGTACTTTTGATCTCCGCTTTACCGTCTCATTCTTCCCCACCATTCGCCTTACAATTACCAGCCCAGTTGACATCATCAGTGCCTTGTACTGGAGCGCAGTGAAGCGTGACGATGGGTCGGTGGTTGCGCGTCACGTGGTGTTGCATGTGCTAGCACACTTCTGCTATGCGAGAATGATGGTGACGCTTTATTTCCCAACATATGGGGAGCTTCCACTGGGTGCTAGGTTGTACTGAGTCCTACTGTATCTATGTGACTTTGAGCCTGGCCTCCGGTGCCCCCGTACCCTGGTCGGAGCCAGCATGACTTATGTTTTTGACCGCCTGGGTTCAAGTTTGTGAACTCCATTAATCTGACTATAAGGAATTTTTTTAGATTCTTGGTTCGTTAATCCTATATTGAGCTCTCGTTGGGTATCCAGTTTGGATTATTTGTCCTTTTCAGGTGGTTTTGTGTGAATTGCATCTAGTTCAGTTGTCTTGGAGCAACATGCTTACGTCTATTATTCTGGCTGTGATTTCAGATATATTCTTGATGCAGGGTAGAAATACCCGTCTGATAGCCTGTCAATAATAATGCTTTTCCCAACTAGTGCATGACAGACCTTCAGGCATGATCATAACGTTACAATCAGAATAAGAGCATGACCAGTGGGGTTTGTGGGTGCTAGTAACTTCGTGGAATAGGGACAGTGACACAAAGAGTTGGCATTGCCCTAAGTAGACTTTGTCATGCCTGAGGCGACATGGGTGGGGAACCGAAATTGCAGGGGCTCATACTTCTTCTGGGGACATATCAGATGAGGCAGAACATACTCGTTAATATTTGACATTGGTGGGCAAAACAACATGAGGAGTCATAACAAGAGGCTTCCGGCCTGGTGCACGATAAAAAATTCAAACTGCAGAAAATATGGAACCAGAATAACGGATTCGGAAGGCAGCAAAACCCTCACGATCTGACCGTCCAATTAGAACTAAAGCCTAAAACCGTCGCTGCGGCTTCGTGGTTTTGGGCTGTTGGACGACAAAACGTAAGTGGGGATGGTTAAGTGGGGGAATATATTGCACAGACAGATGGTAGAGGGGAACTCAGAATTGTAATGTGCAGCGAAACTGGAGAGACTAGTTTTGCTGCTGGAGCGGTGTCGGATATAGAGGTTCCTTGGGAGAATGAGTTCACGCAAACGCACAAGAAGGAACGCGAACTGCAGGGAAAATGACTGACCTGGTGAGAAGTACAAAGTAAAAAAGCTCACGCGCTGGGCACTCCAGTTGCAAGAGTTCGACTTCACAATCCAGCACGTGTCAGGGAAGGATAACCACTTGGCTGATTGGCTGTCAAGGCCAGAGGCTGAAGATGAGGTCCCAAGGATCATGATTGGGGCCAAAAGCCTCGTCGTCGAACTGGATCGCGGAAGGTTGGTGCAACTCCAACGGCAGGATCCTGTGTTACGGAAAGTTGTAGCCGCCTTGTTAGATGGAAGCAGCATTGAGCACGGAGAGGGAGACAAGGGACTGGAAACGTTCCAGAGCCAGTTTGATCAGCTGAGGCTGAATGGACCTGGCACAACTTCCTGAAACGCTACTGATTCGGATGTTGTGCTGCCCGTGATACCCCGCGTCCTGAGATGGAGGCTTGTCGTCAGATGCCATGCGATGGCACATATAGGGTGCACCAAGACGTCGGCAGAGAGCCTTCTGGCCCGGGCTGGGAAGTGAGGTGATGGATTATGTGGTGTCCTGTAAGCGGAGCCAAATAATGAAAGGGGATACGATAAGGGCAACCCATCCCATGAAACATTCCTGTCTCAGGAATCGGCGAGTTGTGGTCAGTTGACGTCATGGGCCCTTTCTGGTGACAACCAGCGGGAATCAACACATCGTGATAATGACAGACCGCCTGTCGCGGTGGATGGAGGCGGCAGC